ATGGGATACCTCATTGTTTCTTCAGAAACAATAGATAGCTTGCAGCATCAGGGTTTTGGATTACTTGTTGTGAACAAGCCTCAGCTTAGCATGACTTTTCCAGATCTTACAATAGTCTTTTAACAGACTTAAGGCAATTACTGGAGTGGTCATAACCTTTTGTGGGGGGAGGACTTCCACCAGTCATCCCAGGAAAAGTATGACAACACTTGTGGTCAGGACTCCAATGGGCTGGACACTCTGATGAACCCTTTACCATTGTTCAAATGTTGCCCATACCCCCTCTGACTTGATCTCTTTGCCTCAGCATTCCCTAACCCAGCAACTGAGTTTTAGTCAATCAAGTTTAAATAGGCCTCCCATAGTGGGACCGGGGAATGTACGGCCTGAGATGCCTATTAAACTTTCCTTCTGCTTAGTTCTGGTTAGATGAGAGGTGTGTGCGTGGGGCGGGGAGGGTGGCAGTCCTTTGTAAAACCAGATTAGAACTGGTCTGATAAATGCTGAGCTGGGTGTGTAAATGTGGGTTGATTAGCATTTGGAGCACGGATTCGGCATCATGCAGTGCTCCCCTGCTTATCTGATCCCAGAATTCATTGTAGTCTTTTCTTTAGGTGTTCTGTTCTCCATCTTCCATATAAATGAATGGTCATCTGGTTCCATGTCAGATGCAAATGAGACCTAGGGCAGTTGCTCCCTTATCTGGAGGGCTTTAGGTATGTCTCCCACTGCATCTTAATCAGTTTTGTTTAGGTAGAGGAGGGGAGGGGCATGGAATTCTTTGTGAGTCAGACAGGCTGTGTCCTGTGCCAGGGTTCCCCAAGAACACGGAGCTGAGAGGTAACACCTATTCAGCAGTTTCTACAGTTAAAAACTAAATACTGGGATAGAATAGCTATCTGCTTTGTTCCAGGCATAAAGCTTCAGAGTTCAAAATTGGCTATAACAGTAGGCAAGACAGAAAATACATTAAGGGTGACATCAAACAAATGCAAAGTTATAGCAAATGTTGGCAGCAGCAATGCAATCATTTATGCACAGATTAATTTATATACATATAATCTGCAACCTTTTGCACCACAGGTGCCTGAAAAGAGGAAGTAAGCAGCCAACACTCGCAAAATAACAGGTTAGGGACTATTTAGAAAAGCTGGATGTGTACAAGTTTGTGGGGACAGACGGGATGCACCCGAGGGTGCTGAAGGAGTTGGCTGATGTGAGTGCAGCCACTAGCCATTATCTTTGAAAAATCATGGTGATCAGAAGAGGTCCCAGATGGTTGGAAAAGGATAAACGTAGTGCCTATCTTTAAGAAAGGGAAGAAGGAAGATCCAGGGAACTACAGACCTGTCAGCCTCTCCTCAGTCCCTGGAAAAATCATGGAGCAAGTCCTCAAGGAATCAATTTCAAATCACCTGGAGAAGAAGAAAGTGATTAGGAACAGTCAGCACGGATTCACCAAGGACAAGTCATGCCTAACCAACTTGATTCTATGATGAGATGACTGGCTCCGTGGATGCAGGGAGGATTAGACCAAGAGGACTCTCATGAGGTTCAATAAGGAGAAGTGCAAAGTCGTGCACTTAGGACAACAATCCCACCCACTGTTCAAGGCTTGAGACTGACTAGCTAATCAGCAGCTCTGCAGAAAAGGACTTGGGGGTTTACAGCAGACAATAAGCTAAATATGAGCCAAGAGTGTTCCCTCGTAGTGAAGAAGGCTAAAGATATATTGAGCTGCATTATTAGGAGTGTTGCCAGCGGATCAACGGAAGCAATTCTTTTCCTCTATTCAGCACTGGTGAGGCCACATCTGGAGGCAGTTTTGTGCCTCCCTTCCCCCCACTACAGAAAAGATGTGAACAAATGGGAGATAGTCCAGCAGAGAGCAACTAAACTGGTTAGGGGGTGGTCCACATGACTTATGAGGAAAGACTGAGGGAACTGGGCTTATTTAGTCTGGAGAAGAGAAGACTATGAGGGGGATTTAATAATAGCCTTCAGCTACCTGAAGGGTGGTTCCAGAGAGGATGGAGCTAGACTGTTCTCAGTGGTGGCAGATAAGAGAACAAAGAGCAATGGTCTCAAGTTGCAGCAAAGGAAGTTTAGGTGAGTTATTAGGAAAAAAATTCTCTCACTAGGAGGGTAGTCAAACACTGGAATAGATTACCTACAGAGGTGGTACAATCTCCATCCTTGGAGGTTTTTAAGATCTGGCTAGACAAAGCCTTGACTGGGATGATCTAGTTGGGATTGGTCCTGCCTTGAGCAGGAGGTTGGACTAGATGTAACCTCCTGAGGTCCCTTCCAACCCTCATTTTCTATTATTTTATAATTCGATGAAAGTTGTACATTGCACTATTGCAGGCCAGCATATTGACAGGAAAGTGTTCTTAGTTCTGCATTCTACAGCTACGGGACTCGGAAGATTTCCCACTTCAGACTGGAGTTGCCAATGCAAATTTCTGCTTGATTTGGCAGTACAGTAAAAGCAGTGTTAACCAGCATTTTCCTAACCGGAATACTCAATTAACCGGAATTTTCAATTTCCCCCAATACAAATCCTCACTTTAGCAACCAGAATCTTTGCCGAGTCTATTTGGCATGTGCATCAAGCATTTCTGTTGTTTACATTACTGAGTAACACTGCCAATAGAGGAGTTGCTGGGAGTTTGTGGGGGAAGGGGCGGGGAGGGGGAGGGGAAAAGGATCTGTGCAGGGCAGGGCGGGCTCCTGCTGTGGGCTGGAGCTGGTATAACGCTCAGATAACCAGAATTTTTAGATAACTGGCACCCCTTTACCCCGCTCATGCCAAATAACAAAGCTTTTACTGGAGCTTGTATTCAGCCATAAAACTACTTCTTTGTAAAGTTGCACACAAATTCCAAGATTATGGATTTTCATTAAAGTCACCCATACAACAGTCAAGACCTAGAAGTATAGATTAATTAATAAATAGTCAGGCAGTGCCCAGGAAATACATTATCTCCCAATACAGATTGAATTAAAAAAATCAGACACCTTCTTGTTTGTGTGGGTTTTTTGTTTGTTTTTTTAAGGATTAATTTTTGAGTAGGGACCTAAATACATTTTCCGTCTAAAGTAGCCTTACAATATTTCTTTTACAAAGCTACTTGGCTATAAAGTACATGAGAAATTTTGACAGCCGATTCATTTGAAACTAGATAAATGCCCTTTAAAAAACTCTAAAAATGTCATTCTTAATAAATGGTCAGACTTACTGTTGAGCTGTTAGTATTGCTAGAAAAGAATATAATCTAGCATACAGACATTTTTAAAAGATTATTTTTGAGATCATAAATTTTAAATGATAGTAATTACTTGGGCTCCAGTGTCCTTTACTATCTGGTGTGAACGGGAGTAAAACAAGTATACCTCATGAATGGGAAAGGGGCTACTAGAGGACAAACAGAAACACACACATTTCTTTTTATAGTGTAGTGAGGTGAAAGGAGACAATGGAGGA